AGTACTTCCAAGCGAGATTATAAACTTACTGTATCTGAGATGTACAAAATATCTCCTTCCTCAAAGTACAGTTCATCTGGCTGAAAAAGAGGAAAATATACATGATGAGCTCAATTCAGGCAAGCTAAAACAACCGAAACCAAAGGGAAAGAGTATAACTAAGAAGGAAACTCACCGTCCTTGGGTCAAAGGTGAATAACGCCCTGTACACCTTGACCTGACCTGTTGAAAACATACATTTGTATGAATGTTACTGATGATTGTACAGTGAAGCATTCTTTCACACATTTCAGCTCTAGAGTTGTCTATGTTCTGCTCATTAATGACAGGCGAAACAGATCAGTAAATATTACACCTGTTAAACCTTATCTTTACCTATCAGCCCAACCATATGCAAAACACCATCACATCTACAACCAGGTAGTATCGCAGAACTAAACGCAGCTCAAATGCAGGGCAAACCACATGACACAGAAATGTGCGTAAGTGTCCAAGCCAGCGGAACCCAAGCCATGAGGCCTAAATGTATAAATAATCAAACCGTTACAAGCAAGAACTAAGGGCATTTCCTGACTGCAAAGGTATTTCCATTTGGCCTATAACAAACAAGTGAGAAGCCCTGCTGAGCGGGATCCAACCGGCCCCTCCCGAACTTCCAGATCAGGCTCTGAAATAGAAACACTGGCCTCCACTGGATATAATCATTCTGTTTGCCCCCAAATTACAGTTACAATAAATTGTTAAGAAGTGTAGAAGTCACTTCAACCAGTCGCAAATCTTCTCTGCAATACTGACAATAAGATGTTTCTTAAAGTTGGAGGGCATGTCCGAGGTTCCCCTAGAATCTACACCACATTTTAATATTACACTATTAGTGTAATAGTTAGTGTAACTTGAGTTTGGCCACTACTAAACAATACTGTGTTAAGTATTCCAAACATCCCATCTCACGCAACTGGCCAAATTTGCATGCTGGACGTCACAGACCCATATCCTGGGCAAATTGTACTAAGAGGACATCCTACGACTTGAGACAGGACCGATAAATAGTTCAGTTCAGTTTTCTAAATAACTGGTTCTTTAGTATCAAAACTACATTTGTGACCATTTAGACCAATCAAGTGATTTTGCATGAGGGAATGGCATTATTATTAATAAAAAATAATATATAGTCATAATAGTGCTGGGCGGTATACCGGTTCATACCGAATATAATATTTATAGTTCGTCTGTTAATATCACATGCACTTTTTTGTTTGTTGTTTTTTTTAGTTTGTTACTCAGACGCAGGCAGTGCGCTGCATGAGACAGAAAAGTAATCTAGCCAAAACAACCGCATAGCCGCTCTTTCGTGTAGATGCATGTTGATTTTATTAGATGATGCTGCGATTATAAATGAGAGTGACTCCTGGTTAACATGTATTAAAAGGGGTCGTGTTTATTCACTATTTAGTGTGGTATTTTCTGACAATATTCACTCATCATAACAGTAAAATAGGGCATTCTAAGTCAATATACTGCAGTATTTACTCTCTCAATCAGTAGAAAATATGATTAACACCCGGTCATGCATGAAAAAAAAATACCGTCTTGTACCGTGAAACCGGTATCATTTTGAAAAATACCGTGATATAAATTTTTGGTCATACCGCCCAGCACTAAGTCATAATGTGCATTATTTTTTAGTTCTGTAGTCTAAAGATATAGGTATTATTGTGTCAAAAAGCAGAAATAAAACATTTGATCAGTTCTGCAAATCTGTTATTGGTTGTTTAGATATGAAAATAACATGCATTGTACCAGTTGTGAAAAGATAATATTGGTCTAGCTCTACCTACAACACGTATCTTTGACCGTGCATAAATCACCAGTCCAAATGTCATGTTATTTTGCACACATAAGCACAGTGAAGCTGCTCTTTCATATGGGGAAGTAACTGTGAGACAATAGCTGTGACTCAAAACCGTTGATCTGTCGATCTAGTCAACATTTTTGGGCATCATAGGAACATTTTTTTTTTTTTCAGAATGAACCGATTATAGTCAAAAATGCGTTGTGCGTCTACGCTGACCAAACGCGCTGTGGTTCTGAACCACAGCCAATGGCTGGCTTGAGTGATTTTCTCTTTCCAAACCCATTCCTGCCATCTGTGGCAAGGCCTTTTACTATTTTTTGTCTTGCTCTTTGAACCTTTAAGCTAAGATGTGGTGGTTTGCGCATGTTAACCGGCGACAGGCGTGTAAAACGCGTAAAAGCTCAACGAAAGTTGCGCTGCTTTGCGCTGGAGAAACGCCAAACTCCACCCGCAGGAGAAAGTTCACGAAGACCCAAAATTGCATGCTCTTATATACATTTCATTGTACGGCATCGGAAACCAGCGTGTTTGTACAGCTATCAGACAAATAAACAACGCAAAAACGTATGAATAAATAATGAAACTTTAGTAGGCTTGCCGAGGTAGGCTTTTCCTCCACGCGCACCTCTTACCTGGTTTAGCTGGTTTGGGGGGAGGCTTTGACATTTCTGAACTTTCCAAGGCTTTTAAAGAAGACTTCCGAGTTGTTTAAGATAATAATACGTAAAAACGGTATTAAAAACTGCTAAGAGTGCAAATGAAACAGTCTATCGTTGCTATCTTCCTTTAGGCGCTATCAATGAGGAAGCGTGAAGGAGCCCAATGCGGAACAGTTGCACTGCGCATGCGCAGAACTCTGAAATTCCGTACTGCCCATATGACAATTTTACTATGGTAACATAACAATAGTTACTATGTTGCATATAAATGCATATAAAACAATTTATTTGAAACTTAGATATAAATCTATTTGCTACAAATTATAAACCATATGGGACTGATATATTTATCACTTTTAATAATGATTTATGTACTTGAATTTTATTCTAAATATGTAGTCAATTACGAAACTGCAAATGATTCATTTTCTGTTTTTGCAATATGGAAAATAACATGTCTATTTTGTTGGCTTTAGTTCTGCTATTATTTCTATAAATGATTGTTGAAATGATTGAATGAGGTTTGATGTAAGTCTTAGATTTAGGGAATGTATTAATAACATTAACCAACATCGATGAATTACACAATGCTTAACAGTAGTGTAGACAATAACAAAACATTACTGACAAATATCAAGATAAACTTGTCTTTTTAGACAGCATGCATGGTCAAACAGTGGTAAGTTAATCTAAAGTACTAAAAAAAATAGTAAACAAATGCCGGACATTTTTCTGCACTTTTTTAAAAACTCCTTTTAATACACTCTAAAAAATGCTGGGTTAAATACAACCCGGTGCTGGGTAAAATAGGGACAAACCCAGCAATTAGGTTGTTTTGACCCAGCGGTTGGGTTACTACCCAGAAGGTTGGGTTAAACATTTAACCCAACCACTAGTCAAAACAACCCAATTGCTGGGTTTGTCCCTATTTTACCCAGCACTGGGTTGTATTTAACCCAGCATTTTTTAGAGTGTACCTAGCTCACAAATGAAACCATGAGTATGTGTGTAAACCTCTAGACTTGTGAGGAGACACATAACATTGGTCTGCACCAACAAGTTGGTTTACATTGCAGGCAAGTTTTAAGGAGCTGCCTCAGAATAGCTCTGCTTTTAGTCATTTCTGTTTTAAAAACTGTACACTCTAAAAAATGCTGGGTTAAATACAACCCAGTGCTGGGTAAAATAGGGACAAACCCAGCAATTGGGTTGTTTTGACCCAGCGGTTGGGTTACTACCCAGAAGGTTTGGTTAAACATTTAACCCAACCGCTGGGTCAAAACAGCCCAATTGCTGGGTTTGTCCCTATTTAACCCAGCACTGGGTTGTATTTAACCCAGCATTTTTTAGAGTGTAGCATTACATCCACTGTCCATGTAGACCTGTCTATTATGTAAGTTCTGAGCTAAAAAAGGATGTTCGATGTTATCACTGAGTACATGGAATTTTAAGAAAGAAAGAAAACTCACTCTTACCTTTGTAAAAAATGGACCTCTGTACACATTTTCACTGTATTTTTAAAATTACATAGGATAATGTAAAATGCATTTGTAAATGCATTGCTTTTAGTCAAAAGTTAAAAGGAGTGAAACCTTTGCTTTATGAATCCAGTGGTGTCTCAAAATATATTTTACTCTTATTTAAATTCTGGTTAGCAGCTAATGGGATGTTTAGTTTGTTCTGTGTTAATGGTTCAGGGTCATTAGCTGAAATTCTCTTCCTTTTGGGCTCTTCAGAAACTCATTGCCATGCAGATGTGAGGGACATGTTGCACGGCAGGTGACTCAAACAGAATTTAAAATGCACAAACACGTTTATTCATGGCTTCATCTAAGAAAACCGGTTGTTCTTCCAGCTACCGCTCTTCTGTAGAGTACCATAGTTTTTTGGCCTGGAATTTCAGGGACAGTAATTAATGACCCACGAGGCCGTGTTCACACACAGGCACAAAATGTGTGTACTGGTGGTATTTTGGCTTCTCTCTTTATCTGTTCATTCATTCTTTTTATTCCAGACATGATGTCTCATATTCCATCCCAAATATTTCAAAGATCCTCGGCCAAATTCAGTTCCAGTGACCCAGTGTACCTAAATCTGAAGCACCTACATCACTGCATGTAAAACGTCCTCACAATTGACCATTAAAATTAAAATAAAGATGGACAATTTTCATGTTTATATCGCATTCAGATCTCAACAGCAAATAAAAAAGTGGAGGTACAGTATTATAAACATTCAGCTTCATAGCTCAGGGACGTGAAATGGAAAATTAATCTCACATAATGACTTGTGTATGAATGACCAGTGGATATATTCTACAGGTGGACTCTCGTCAAACATTTATCGTACAAAAGGTGCCTACAAACACACACAAACACACATTATCTGTGTGTGTGTGTGAAGGGAAACCTCCCTATAAAAGCTCCTCCTGGACGATAAGTACATGACAAACAGAAACTCAACACAGAACTCAGCTGTCAGCTGCCATGAACCTACAGTGCCTCTCCTCTCTGCTGCTCTGTGTCGGTGAGTTGCGTTTTCTCCATCCCGATCTGACCCTGTGTTATATTAGATTTGACCTGTCAGCTTCAGGTGTGCCACGGTAATAAAAAACCTGGAAATCGTAAGGGAATTAAAACTGTGATTTCCAGTTCTGAAAAAATAATGGAAATTGATACAATCTTAAAATGTTGTGGGATTTTTTTATGCGTGAATATATGCATTTCTAGTTATGCTTTGCTCTAAAATATTTATATTGCTTAGAAACTTTGTCATTTTGATCACAAATTATGTAAAATAATTGTTAAAATCCTTGTCCAATGATAAAGTAACAACTGGAAAAAATGATGAAAAGTCAAAAAGTGGGTGAAATTTGCAAGATATTCTCTTCCATGTTGAGTGTAAATTATCTACAGTTGCTTATTATTATTTATTCGTTTACTGTATTTTAATTTCACTTTGACAACTGACAGAAGACAATCGACTGATGAATATGAAAGACTCCAAGATAGTAAGTCTCTCGCTGAGTGAAGTGTGGTATTGTGTTTGTGTCTCCTGACAGGCAGGCTTTGGGAAATTGACTCGACCTGTAGTAACATGCCTCTGAATAGCTGTGAGCTCCGGCTTTTTTTCTATATAGGTGTATGCCAGAACACCACACAGTTTAAATCTCGGCTGTCTGTTGTCATGTTCGACGTCACAAAGCGCTTATTGTTAATGGCAAAGGACAGAGAATTAGGGCGTCACACCGACTGGGTGAATTTTACAAAAAGAACAAACAGTTCATGTTTCACTCTAAAATAAAAAGAAAAATAAGAATGCATAGTGAATTCAATGAATAGAGTAGGTAAGTAAACTATAAACATTTAAATTGATTGCATGCAATAAAACAAAAGTGTGCAACAAAATGCTGAAGAATTCTGTTCATTGTGTGTGGGTGTGTGTGTGTGTGTGTGTGTGTGTGTGTGTGTGTGTGTGTGTGTGTGTGTGTGTGTGTGAATTTCTTTGACAATTAAATGCAGAATTCCAGTCAGTAGGAGTGTTCAGATCAAATGCATTTGCTCAAACATTCTCAGTGTAGACTTGTTTGACTGCAGCCGTCGCCAGATGATACCTGTGAGAGAAGCGCACATACACTACTTTAAAATGTCTGAATGTCATTGAATTACCACATATTTAGTTATTAGAAGAAAAATAGCACATGCACGCTTTTCATGCAAAATATTTGACAACAAAGTTTGTTTAATATAGTGATGTTCTAAAATAAAGTGTTTGTAAAACATTAAAGGAACATGTTAATAGTTAAATGTGATGAAGAATCAAATATGTGCAGAATAAAATGCCATGCAAAATTACAATTAGTGCTTGATAGACTGGATCGGATTGCCACACACCCAGGGCTGGTGGAATTTGTTCCTGCAATTTTCAGACAATGGCACCTTCGATTACTACAATTCAAGCCAAGAGGAAATCAAACGGATGCCTGGTCTTTTTGTTCATTATTCCAAGGTTGACTTTGTAATGTTTCATCAAAACGTGATGATCAAAGCTTACTCCACCTATGCAACAACGTTACCATGGTTACTTAAGTTTCAACCCACAGATGTTGGTTGTGTTTCGGGATGGTAGTAGTCCTTCACGTTCACATTCAGGTCTGGCTCCATTCTGCTATATAACGCCCACTTTTTTTTGATCCCAATCAATTCCTGATGGATAAAATCAAGTCCCAGCCTACATTTTTTCTCGCTGAATAGCATGTTTCACTGTGGAAATGAATCACATGGGTTGTGAACACTGAGACCTCCTTTGATGCAAACATTGTTTTATGTTGTCTTAACCCTGACATATGAAATAATAGTCCGAAAAATCTATTTTTTTAATCTATTTATTTTTAATGGAATAGTTTATTGATTTTATTGCATGATATAGGCATGATATATAGAATATGGAGGCAAAAAAAAAAACAACAACTCAATTTTGGCCCAAATTTGGTGCAGTTGCTTATATTTATATGGCCAAAAAGTAAGATGATAGCTTTAAATTGAAATCTTTATATCAGTACAGCAGACTATATAAAATGCATATAAATATCAGTTGTCACTCTGTATCTCCCAATAATATGATATTTAAATGCTTAGTTTCATGTTTCACTCTAAAATAAAAAGAAAAATAAGAATGCATAGTGAATTCAATGAATAGAGTAGGTAAGTAAACTATAAACATTTAAATTGATTGCATGCAATAAAACAAAAGTGTGCAACAAAATGCTGAAGAATTCTGTTCATTTTAATTAAATAAATTAAACAAGCAGCAAGTGTAGAGATATTTGGTGAAAAGGATCATACTTGCATCACTGTTTTACTGTATTTATGGCAACATTTAATTAAACTTTTAAAACTCAAAGTATAGAATTCAAATGCCAAAAACATTAAAGTATGAATCTTTCAGAAACCAAAGTCAGTAATAGAGGAGAAACAATAATGTACAGTATGTGGAAAATAATGTGTTTTTTGAACCTTAAACCGCATAAACACATTTCATTACACCAAATACACAAAATAATGTTCTTTTTAGCAACATCATATGACCCCTTTAAAGAACCACTTTAAAGAAAATTAAAAGTGTAGAAAGCAAATATTCTCACACACATTAAAGTTTCTCATATATCTTGTGTCTTTCAGTAACCCAAGTCAGTAAAGGAGACGAGCAGAATCACAAGCGCGCTGGGCGCAAAAAGAACAAAGGAAGAAGAAAGAATAAAAATATCACTCCTGTTCAGCCGAATCATACGCTCAGTCACAGGAGCCACAGCACCACCGCTGACCCCTGCCTGACCTCTCACGTGGACTACTGCATCCACGGCCACTGCACGTACCTGCGCGGCCTGAGAGAGCCTGTCTGTGTGTGAGTGACACTTACCTACAGAAGCTTGTTTCCACCACGGGATAAGAAATAAAAAGGTAAATGCGACTTATCTCACAATTCGACTTTCTTTCTTGCAGTTCTGAACAATTTCTCAGAATTGCGTGACATAAATGCTGAATTGTGAGATATAAACTTGAGAATTGTGAGGGGAAAAAAGTCAGAATTGTGAGACAATTACCTTTTTTTCATGGCGGAAACAAAAAACACAATTGCAAGATGTAAACTCAGAATTCAGAGAAAAAAAGTCAGAATTGTTGATATAAACTCAAAATTACATCTTGAAATTCTGACTCTTTTTCAGAGAATTGAAAGATAGGCCTATCTCAGAATTGTGAGATACAAAGTCTAAATTACCTTTTTTATTTTTTATTTCATGGCGGAAACAAAAAAAAAAATGAAATGGTGAAATGTAAATTCAGAGTTCTGAGAAATAAATTCAGACATGCAAGAACTTGACTCTGTGAGATGTAAACTCGAAATTGCGAGTAAGAAAGTCAGAATTTTAAGGTTTATGTCTCACAATTCTGACTTTTTTCTAAGAATTACGAGATATAAACTCAGAATTGTGAGATATAAAGTCTAAATTTGTATTTGTTATTTCATGGTGGAAACAAAACAAAAGAAATCACAAGACGTAAATGCAGAATTCTGAGAAAAAAAGTCAGAAATGTGAAATATAAACTCAAAATTGCAAGATTTTGCAAGAGAAAAAAAGTCTGAATTTGGAGTTTATGTCTCGGAGTTCCGAGTTTAAATCTAGCAATTCTTACTTTTTTTCTAAGAATTGCAAGATTTAAACTCAGAATTCCGAGACTGGAATTCTGAATTGTGAGATAAAAAATCACAAGTGCAAGCAAAAAATAAAAATAAAATAAAAATCTGAATTGTGAGATAGAAAGTCGTAATTACCTTTTTTATTTATTCCATGGCAGAAACAGGCTTCTATACTTCTCTGCATGCACACTACATGGAATTCACATAAAGAGTTTATAATTAATGAAATTCAGTCAACATTGCATTAACGTTGTGTTCAAGTAACGAAAGTCTGATTTATTTCAGATGTAAGAGAGGTTATGATGGGGAACGCTGTGGGATCCAGCTTCTCGGGACGTCTCGGGACGAGAGCAGCACTGAAACGACCCACACCGCGCTCGTCATTATGGCTGTCGTACTGTCAGTCATCAGCTGCCTAGCCATTCTGCTCATGGTCTGCGTGCAGTAAGTACATTCAGTGCTAAATATACACCCACACACACTCATTCATCTTTCACACACAAAACACACGCCTGGGATATAATTGGCACATATTGTGACAGCAGTTTGGACACACCTATTCATTCTTTATCATTATTATTGTAAATCATAATAAGTCATTAATACTACAAGATAACTCTACCCAGCTAATGTTCCAATTAAGTTTCCCATTGTTTCTGAATGTTCTCTGAACATTCTAAACATCAGTTTTAAAAACGTTTTTTCTTTGTTATGCGAATATTAAAGGGGTCATATGATGT